TCATCTTTAATACTCTTTCTCAAGTGGAAGGTAAAACGAAAATTAAAAATAAAGTTTCTTAAAATAGAAGTAGATAAGTATTACGGATGGAAAACACCTAAAGAAGTCCTACCATACTTTTGTAAAATTTGTGTGACTTGGTCTCACCGGCAGCAATTTTCTCGTGTTACAATGTCGATCTCATCATATGAAAACATCAATGTTTAATTTGCATGATAATACTAAAGAAGTGTAGTTACATTCCTAAAACAATTGCTCATAGCATGCTCTTAAAATGACTCCTTCCAATTAGAGTTCAGACTTTGTAGGAGTACTTTTGTGTTTATAAGCAGAACCTGAGATTCATGAGGCTCGCTTGAGTATTTCATCATTGTCCTAACAGATTATTTTATCATTGATATATGCCTTTTATGATGATTTTAAGAGTAAAGTTATATATGTTAAGACAAAGTGACATAATAAATTGTAATGTGTGAACGTTATATTGATTGTTGATATAAGTAACACAACAAGTGACATATCAAATTGTACGTGAGTAATGTGTGAACTTTATATGATTGTTGATATAGGTGTTCTATTTTTGTGCAAATTGTGTTATACTCCCTCCGTCCCGCTAACAATGAGACAAGAGGGAGTGTCACGCAAATTAATAAAAAGTGGTTTATGTGGTTGATATTGAATTGATAAAGTAAGAATAAAGTAAAAATGATTTAGAGGCACACAAACTTTACCAAAATTGGTATGAGACAATCTTAGTGGGACGGACCGATAAGGTAAAATGGGACAATCATAGCGGGACAGAGGTAGTAATAAATAATAAAATGACGTATGAACATTTGTAAATGCAAACAAAACTTAATTAAATATAAAATGTATATTAAAATCCAAAAGTTGAAGACCTTAAAAATTCAGATTTACTGGTTTTTAAAAAACTAATAACTTCTCATTTTTGTAATTAATTTATTTAATAATGGGTCTGGTCATTGATGTGTGAAAACGTGCAAGTCTAATACACTTTTGTGTAAACATTTGGGAAGATGAGATTAAACATGGATTGCAATGGAAAGGAAGGTATTAGATGGTGCGGAAACAAGAGGAGGCCTTCCTCACCCATTAAAATTAAAATCTAAAAGGGAAAAGAGTCAAATAATCCCTCGAACTAACTTAAAAAGTGCAAATCATCCCTTATATAAGAGGCTCTGTCCGGCCGTTGATATTTGGGATGGATCCCGGTGAAATTTTTGGATGAATTTTTTTGAGCATCTTCTTCGTTAAGTCTAGTTTACTCATACCAAATTTCAGATAAAAAATCAATCGAGAAGACAGTCAAATGATTTTCCGAAATGACTGTGTTGTTTAACTACGAAGTTATCTTCAAAAATTCATTTGACTGCTTTCCCGATTGAATTTTTAGCTGAAATTTGGTATGAGTAAATTAGATTTAATGAAGAAGATGCTAAAAAAAATTCATCAAAAAAATCCACCGGGAACTGCCCCAAATGGCGACGGCCGGACAAAACCTCATATATAAGAGGTGATTTGCACTTTTAAAGTTAGTTCGAGAGTCTATTTGACCTTTTTCCCGATCTAAAATTAAAGAAGAAATCCTAGACCAAAGTAGAAAATCCACTTTTGGGATGAAGAGTAGAATACGGACTTTTTCTCATAGAGGGTTAGAAATTCCAACAAATTACAAATCTAATGCTCGGAGAAGTAACTACAAACATAAACGCCTCCCAGTACCATAATGAAATCGAGAAGAAAAAGACCAAGTCACATAATTTGCGAATTTTCATGTTACATTAATTTTAACGGTCTTATAAGCTCTTATGAGTACTTTGTATTTTTTATTGGGAGAATTCCATAAACAGGAGTAAAAAAGTTTTGAAATTCTAAAATAGGAGTATCTTATTTTTTATTCCTTGAATAGAAGTAAATTTCTGCCAAGTTTGACATTACTAAGCTTTAAAACATGACATTTTTTCCAAACTTGGCAGATTAGTCTTATTCAGAGAATAAAAAATATGATACTCCTAATTTGGAATTTCAAAATGTTTTTGCTCCTATTTAGAGCAATTTCTATTTTTATTCAGAGTATTAAGAGCTCGTTTGTTGAGCCTGTTTTTGACTTATCAGTCTTGTCAGTGAACTTTTTCACCAAACATGTAGCTTTTGATTTCGCGGATAGAATTGTGTAATAATAAGAAAAAGTAAGGTTATAGTTACTTTTATGACTTTATTGTCTGAAGTTACTGTACAAAGTCATTTAACTATTTTCATAGAATTGTTTCTTTATTTTATTAATAAAACATATTTTAAATACTTTTATTACTTAAATTAGTCAATTCATCAACTTCAGTCAAAACTATATAATTTTAACTCGGTTTTGATATTACCAGCACCGCCATCATCATCATCATCATCGCCCCAATGCTGAAAAGATTCCGACCTACGGTGGGGTAAGGTGGTCAGATGTACACAGTCTTTGTCACGCCCCGGACCTAGCCGGACACGTCAACAACCCGCCGCACAGTACGAATAGTCAACCGCAGTTCAACTCATCAATACTATACAAGGCGTCATGAATATCATTCACACATAGTACGTCCATAAACAAACATAATGTAAATCATTTATTTAAAACAGCGGAAACAACATTACAAGTGTACAAGCCACACTTGGCAAACATGGGTATACAAACCCCCGAAATGTATATTCAGAAAATAACATCCATGAGCATTATTCATATTGTTTTCAAAACAAGAACGGAAGAAGCACGAACCAAGTCTTCTTCTCAGAAACTTCCCAAAACAGCGGCTGATGGTAGCAACCTTCAAGTTCTACCTGAAACTATGAGGTGGCCTCCCCCGTGAAGGGGAAGTCAGTACTTGGAAGCATTTGACAAGTACAATGACAACTATACTAAGTATAATCGAAGTTTAAATCTCTTAGGCCCTCAATCTAGAACATTATTACATTATAGTTAATCCGTTCATTTAGTATCAATTCATCATTACTTACTACGGTCTAGAGCCCAGCTCATAATCACCGTTATCTACTACGGTCTAGAGCCCCGCTCATAATCACCGTCATCTACCACGGTCTAGAGCCCAGCTCATAATCACCGTCATCTACTATGGTCTAGAGCCCAGCTCATAATCACCGTCATCTACTACGGTCTAGAGCCCAGCTCATAATCACCGTCATCTACTACGGTATAGAGCCCAACTCATAATCACCGTTATCTACATCGGTCCCGAGCCCGGCTCATAATCACCGATTCTTTATAATTCACATTTTTAGGATCTAATTCATCCATTTCTCAACTAACATTTCCAACTAATATTTCAATGCTAGTTATTTATTTATTTCAATAAAATTCTTCCTTCATGCATGATTGGCCTTAATATCAAGTATCACTTTCATACCTTCATGGCTTCTCCTCATGGTATCAAAGTATACTATCTCAAATGAAATTCATGGTTGGTACAACCATCATACACACATATTCATAACATCTAAACATACACAATTTATTCATAAATTTGTGTATCATGCATACTATACTTATAATCAATAGTAGTTTTATTTAGGCATTATTAACCATTAACAACCCATGCACATCACATTTGTATTCACTTAGGAAATCCCATGAAATTAACCCAAAGATTATAAGTAACATAGTCGGTCATCCTCACCTTAATTAAGCTTAAGCGCGTTCTATGCTTCTCGATTGAACTTTGACTAATTCCGGCGAACTTTGATCAACTCCGGCGAACTTTGACCAACTCCGACGAAACTCCGGCGAAGCTCAAAATACTTTAAATTAAGTTCCTAACAAGGTTTTATCATCACAAAACCCATATCAACACAAATAACCTATAAAAGGTTATTTTCCGGCAAACCGGTCGATTTGGCTTCTAAGTACGTTTTTGGACTTAGAATCACTTTCCAACCCATTATTCCACACTTAAATCATGTAGAACAATACTAAAAGTCTTTCATATGATATATATCTTATATACTAGAAGAAAAACAAAGGAAAGGTTATGATAAGGTCATTACCTTAATTTTCACACTTTTTCTTAGCTTTTTCCTTCTTTAACTTCCTCCCAACTTTCTTGTTTGAGCTCTGCCCCAATTTTGCTATGAAGGATGAAGTTGTAGAGGTTCTTTCCTCCTTTCCCTTGATGCTATCCGAACTGGTGAGGAGGGGGATGGGTAGGAATGCCCCCTTGTCTCTATTTGGGAAATGAGTGAAAGAGAGGAGGGCCACCATGATTTGTTTTGATGCCAAACATCTCAAATAAGTCCTCTCCCACCTCACCTCTCCTACCAGCCTGCTCAGGCCCTGAATAATGAGGCTAAAATCGTGGGTTGGCCCCCACCCATGCGGGAGGTCAACCCTTTTTGTCCAGAAGTGTACAATCGGTCCCGAAAGTTGTATTTTCCGGACTGTTTTAAGTATATTTTATTTTATCGGGTCAAATAAAATATAACACTTGTTCCCGATCCTTATGGAACCCTAGAATCAATATGCATTCCCCAACCTCAATTTAGAAGTCTCCGAAATCTCTTTTTGGTATGTTATCTGGTAAATTTGCCGATACCGATAATTTGGCCTTGTTTGACCAGCCGGTCAACCCTGTGCCATTGCTATGGACCAATTAGGATATCCACCACCATATACATATTTTCTAGGCCCAGATGAATCTAATATGTGGTCCCGATAATATCGGGCGGTCCCCACTCTCGATGTGGGCCCCACGTGCATTTTACTATTCACGCGAAAAAAATTAATACAAATTCACAACCTCGTAAATTCACAAAAATTTCATAGGGTTCAATAAATTATTCGCTTAAAGGTAAATACATTTGGGGACGGTGTTACAGTCTTACCTTTGTACTAAAGCATAGATAGACTGTTTCCGGATGACAAATAGTGAAAATCGCGTCGAAAATTGTATGAATTGACTGTTGCTTCATAACAAAGAAATGCATACAATTTAATTAATTATTTTGCTTTATTCCATCATACTTTCAAAACAAAATTAGTGAGTTTTTAACTCAATTGCAAACAAATAATGGTTTTTATATTACCGCACAGGCTCTAAATTTGGGATACAAAAACAAATGCAGTAACAAAGTGAACGAAATCGGAAGAGAGAGCAGACGACCAAATTCATGTGTTTTTCAGTTTCCCCTGAATTGGGTCTCAACAAATTTCTAAAAAGGCATTTATAATATCTTTTGCGGGGAGCTGTTTAATCATAGGAGTTGGGTCTACATTTTCCTCCCTTTTGATTAACCTTCTTTGTGATTTCACCGCCCTTTACTTTCTGCTGATTAAATAATCAAACATTAAAAAGAAATGGCAGATGACCAATTATCCTTCCTCCTCCATGGGAAACATCCATCATTGCTTCCAACAGTTCTTTTTCAAAACCGCTATAGAAATCCTTCTGAGAGTTCTCCATTTTATACTCGACTATTTTCCCATTCTCCAGCTGCACAGATTTGCTTCTTTCTTCTGTCTCCATAGCCATGGATGCTTCCTCTTCTGCAAATACGGTCAACGGGTTCTACTCATTCATGAACAGGGGCATTGACGATCTGGAGAGGGTTTTTCTCTCCACCAATTTCATGTCAATCCAGTTCCTGCAAAGGGTATTGGCCCTCTTGAGATCTTTCCACTCCCAGCTCACTGTTCTTGTCCAGAAGCTTCACCTGCCTGTGGGTGAGAAGTGGCTGGATGAGTATATGGATGAAAGCTCCAAGCTTTGGGAAGTTTGCCATGTCATCAAGTCCGCCATTTCTGGTATTGAGAACTACTGCTCTGCTGCTTTTAATGTCACTTCTTCCCTTGACAGCAATCATCATCTCAACCCGCAGTTGTCACGTCAGGTTAGTTTTTAAGTTCAACTAAATCATTTCGGTAATGTTAGAGTTGTCTATATATACGAATATTAATCATGAGTTAAGTAAAAAATACGGAGTACCAGCTACGTGGCATAGAAGGTTCATACGGCAAAATTACACGATTATTTAGGGAATAATTAAATAAAATACTTCAAGTATATTTTGAGAAATAATTTAATAGGTATATATTATAATGTAGTTAGTATTGATAATCGTGATTTTATAATTGTTTTATTTTTAATATTTAATGATTAATTTGTCATTTAAGAATGTTAATTGTTTCCTAAAATGGAAATGAGAACCTTTATTGAGACGTCCAAAAAAGGAAAGTCGGAACCTTCCAATGGGACGGAGGGAGTACTATATCTAGGATCCGTCCAACTAACATTGAGACACAAGGAGGCTGACACGCTTATTAAGAAAAATAAGTTTATGTGATTGATATTTAATTGATAAATAAAAAATAAAGTAAGAATGATTTAGAATCATACAAAATTTATTAAATTTGTTTGGTATTTGACAATATTAATGAGGCAAATCGAAAACCGAAAATGAAAGATACAACAATTTTAAGAGGGGAGGGGAGAACCTAATATGATCATCTAAGTTTGTATTGACGAGGTCATGGTTTTTAAATGGGGTAAGGGTCAGATTGGTCCTCAAAGTTGCATAAAAAGGGTCAAATAAGTCCTTATATAGAAGGCTATGTTCAGTCATCGTCATTCGGGGCGGTTCCTAGTGGAATTTTTTGATGAAATTTTTTGGTCATCGTATTCATTAAGACTAGTTTACTCATACCAAATTTCAGCTAAAACTTCAATCGGGAAGACATTCAAATGAAGTCTTGAAGATAAGTGTGCAGTTACCTTCAAGAATTCATTTGAATGTCTTCCCGATTGAAGTTTTAGCTGAAACTTGGTATGAGTAAACTAGAATTAATGAATAAGATGCTAAAAAAAATCATCAAAAAATTCAACCGGGAACCTCCCCAAATGGCGGCGACCGGACAGTAAGGACTTATTTGACCTTTTTATGCAATTTCGAGAACCAATCTGACTCTTTGTCATTTTTAAATTGAGAAGCTCTAGTAAGGTAACTTATTCATTTATTTTGGATCAATTAAAATATTATAATTGAATCGTTAAAACATAAAGAAATTATGAAATAATGATGTGTGCTATCAAATGCATTATAGTTACCTACTACTACTACTTATTAGGAAAGTATAATGGGGTGTTTTGTTAGAAGTCTATCCGTCATTTTTTAGGTGTTTTGATTATATTTGGCCTTTTAACCAAATCAATCAGCTAATAAAAATGCTTGATTAAATGACCTTTTCAATTGACTTTTTATCCTGAACAACCAAAATATGAAATGACATTAATTCTAGTTTTTAGGATGGGCGTTTCTGTATCTTTCCTATATTGCCCATCCGTGTTTTGTATCTGCGCGCCTTCTACTTCCAGAAAATTGAAATTGCTTCAGCCGAAGAAAAAAAGCAGCCATCTCCGACAACCAGTGTAATTTTTTTTTAAATCGAAAAACGTTTTAAATGGTTATACCAATAACATTAACAAAAATAATAATAATTCATGTCCTTAAAAGTCATTTAACAATTTATCAGCTAATTGTAAACAACCATTTAACCAAACACCATTTTGCAAACTGCTAATACTATCGGCTAAGTAAAACAGCCAATAGAATCTGATGTCATCAATGAGCTAACACAATCAGTCAACAACTAACAGCCAATGACCATTTGCCAAACACCCCAATAGTGTTCAATTGTTCACCTTTTTATTACTTTATTTTTGTACATTTAATGTTATTTCTTGACTGATTTGTTTTCAATACTTATTGTATAATTTTGTACGTGCACATGATGTTATTTATTTGCTGCATGTTTGCAATATGACTATGAATTAAAGAGTCTAGCTATTGGGCTAGGCTTTTTGTCTTTTGAGAGTTTTCAAAGTTGAGCCAACACTGATTGTTAATGACTTTATATTTTTCTCTTCTAAAAAGAAAAGATCACTACTTTCACTCTCGCCCATAAAGATTCACCTTTTGACTTGTTGTTATATGTGGTTTATATAATTCTTTTTGGTTTAAATATGTTTTTAATCTCTACAAATATAGTACATTTTGTGTTATGTCCCTGCATTTTTTTTTTATTTTCATCCCTGAAATTTATGTTGATTTTCATTTTAGTCCATCACTTGTGATAACAACCTCCGCTTGACACGAAACAACCCCGACTAATAGTTTTTCTCTAATTCTTTGTCATGTTATTCAAAAAAATTAAAATTTTATTTTTTTGAAGTTTTTTTATACATAATTTAGAAATCTGAATAATTAGTTTTAAATTGTTTTAACCCTCATATCAGCCTCAAAAAAATTGCAAAAGGATAAATTTAAACGTTTCTAGTAGGTTTATGTAACTGACAATTTTTTTACCTAAACAGAGTGGTTTAGGCATTAGTGACGGACTACAGACAAAATATTGCATATTACAAGGATGAAAAACAAAAAAAAATTAGCAGAGACCTAAAACAAAGTGAGTCATATTTGCAGAGACTAAAATGATATTTAAGCCATTCTTTTTTACTCCCTCCGTCCCTAATAACTTTGCTAAGTTTGACCGGCATGGAGAATAATAAAGTAAAAACTGTGTGAGTGAGATTTGTGCAGAGGAGATGATATAAACTGGGACCACAAATTCTTTACTTAAAAGGAAAAGTGACAAAGTTAGTGGAACATCCAAAAAAGAAAAGTTGACAAAGTAATAAGGGACGAAGGGAGTATATGTTACCTCTTGTAATAATTCTTAAATAAATTTCACATTTTCTTTTTTGGTAGGTTCAAAATAAATTTCAATTTTCTATTCTTGACAAGTTTTTAATATAAAGTTACTTTATACCTACTATTATATCCCTTTATTATGTACTTTACACTCATTTACTCTCTCTCTGCACTTAAGCTACTCTTATAGGGGTATGATGAGAAAGTCAAAAGTAAATTCGACTTCCTTAAAAATCGTAAAGTCAAAGTGTGAAATTTATTTTGGATCGAAATGGGTATAAATTTTTATTTTATTGAGATGCAACTCACACGGAGTAGTAGATCTTTTTACTGTAGTTTCCAAACACTACTTTCACCATCTCAAATAAAGAGCTCGTTTAGTAATGCTCAAATCGACTGTATTGACTGATTCTACTTAAAATTATGAAGGTCTGGCTGAAGTTGCTGAATTTTTCGTTTCTGCTGATTTATTAAAAAATTATATTTAAAAAATATTTTATTAATAAATTAAAGAAAAAATTATAGGAAAAAACAACTAAAATGATTTTCTACATTAACTTCAGTCAATAAAATCAGAAAAGTAATTTCAACCTCACCTTTTCTTATTACTACACAATTCAGCGCGTGAAATCAAAAGTTACGTGTTTGACAAAAAAGTTGGTTGATAAGCCTGATAAGTCAAAAAACAGGGTCACCAAATGGACTCAAAATTTCAATTTCCTTTTCCGTTTTTTTCAAAATTCTTTACATTCTTGCTTTAGAAATAAATTGTATAGCTCATATATTTTCTATTCGTTTTAAATAAATCACAACCACGCTACTCTTTTGTTAAACAACTTGTCAAATGTTTTAAGAGAAAATAATTTAAATATCCCAAATTTTGAAGGGGTGTTAGATAAATACCACAAACTTGCGCGTGTAATATATATACCCCAAACTTTATATAAAAAGTTACATTGGCACCATAATCATATATTTTTTCACAAATATAATTTTATGCCGTTAATTACATAATTTAAAATAAACAAAACATTTATGAAGATACATATAAAATTAAATTATACCAGATATACTATTATTTATTCCACAGATACAATTTTAGAATGTTAATTGTGCTCTAACAAAGCTTAGAGTATTTTATACTGCGTATTATATAATTAATCTAATAAATTTGTATTTGTAAAAAGCATACAATCATGGTTTGAAAATATTTATTTATACATAGTATAAAGTTCGGAGTATATATAGAAAGAATGACATAGATACTACTCCCACACTTGTTAAAGACAAAAGTATGAATCTTTTTCATATTTCCAAAAATATGATTTAGACTTCAACGCTTCAACGCTCCTTCTCGTAAGTGACATTGTGGACTTCCCCCTCCCTCCTGCAATGCACATTGCGATTGCAGCCTCTGAGCAAATCTACCCAATGGAGCAACAGATATGACCAGCGTCGAGTTCCTCGCAGCCAACGCACACCGCCGCCGCCGTATTCGTCCCCTCCAAGTCTGACCGAGGGCGTGGCGACGAACGTCATGTCTATGACAACGGCTGTGATGCAGGACGCAGGAAGATACTCATGTGATGAAGAAAGAGATCTTCGAGAGTTCTAGCATATTCTAAGAATGTAAACAGAGATATGGAAGAGAGTGTAATGATCGGAAGAGAATGAATGATATTTCTTATTCATGATGAGATGTTCAGCTGTACATTTATAGTAATGGTCGTATTTGACTTACCAAGCTAAGTCAAAACAGAATATAACCAACTTTAACTGATCAACTAAGTGCAACGGTTATTATTAATATGCAGCTATATCATACTACCCCCTTAAACACTGACTTGTCCTCAAGTCTGGATAACAACGTCTGGATATTGTGCTGCAAAGTTTGAAGCATCCTCCCATGAAGCTTCACTGGTAGGAAAACCTTCCCATTGCACTAAGTATTGTATAACTGGTGCATTCTGAACTTTTACCACTTTTCTATCTAGAACTGTTGTTGGCCCGAGTATAGTGATGCTTTCCACATTCTGCCAATGTACTGGAATATGTGGGGCCATAAGTAGAATGCCTCTAAACCCTGTAAGCTGTGAGACATGAAAAATATTATGAACCTTAGCTGAATCTGGTAATTTATGAACATTATGAACCTTCTCAATCCTAGTTTCCACTTGAAAAGG